AAGAGGCCCTGCACTTTATTGGTCCCACAAAAAATACTCAAGTCACACCTTTTCAAAAAAAACAAGTTACCAAGGTTAACATACAGTGACACGGTGGATATTATGGTTAGGTTGTTTGTATTTAATTAACACGTTTCAAGTACTCACAAAAAACTAAAAATAACTAAATACATGGGCGGTTATAATGACATAATAATACAGTTTAAACTATAATTTTAGATTTTAGGATTGGAGCGCGTGTTGCAAACATTTGCCCGCCAATCTCGTCGATACATAAATCACGCGAGTACTCAAGACAGTGATTAAATACATTGAAACTCTCAATGAAAATAACCTCTCGTGTAGTTGTGTATGGTACGTATAATATAATATATTATGTCTCAATAGGAGGAATTTGGTATTGGAAGTCTAACATAAGAATTCTGTACAATAGGAGTCGTCAAGTCGAGTAACGCAAGTCGCAAAAAGCAAAATTTACAGGAGAGACAAAAAAAAATTTTTTGTTGCACTGGACTTACAATTGTATACTTTAAAAATATTATTTTGTATTAGGTACTTTTCTTATGTAAACGCTGGACATTCTATCTATGCATTTATTGTATGTAGGACTTACATTTCAATACCTATAAAAAAAAGATCACAAAAAGCATTTTCTGATTATATGACTAACTCAAAATTTCAAAAAATGGACTTGCGTTAGTTGACTTCTGTGGTACAGAGATTGATCTGAAAAGTAAGTGCTATTACTGCTTCGTTACCCAATAACTATAATAATTGTCATATCTTATTGTACTCTCTGAGTACTTACTGAGTAGAAAACAATATCGAGTCTGCTGTATGCGCGTATACACGATGCGCGTATACACGACCCCGTGCAACATAGATATTATTCTAATTGGAGAGCATAATAATATATAACACGTGAATAAGGTTAAGGGGTTCGGTATTCGATTTACAATATACAAACGATTACAATAATCAACATTAGTTGCGTAATAATATAATGGTCATAGTAATTATAATCAATTATATTTTAGATTAATATTATTTAATTATTATAATAATTTGGCATCGCATATTCACACTTACAGTAAAAGTCTTCCGCGGGTCGACATTTTGTAACAATGTAACAAAAACTTTTTTTTTTGGCAACATTGGCCATTAGGTGTGGGGAGGAAACTGTGTGGGTTTTAGGTTGGGTAGGTTGGTTTTTGTCGTGTTTTGGCAGTATTTCTAATGGGGCGCCCGTAGGTTTCTGCCATGACCCGGGTGGGGGATGGCGGCACTTGTTCTCCAGACATCCTGACTGGCCCGAAGAAAAATGCCGCCCGCGGCCGAGGTATCGAACCAGTCTCGACTTCGTCGCAGCCGACGTCTTAGTCCGCTCGGCCACTCCGTCCCCCGCACCATGTTTTATTAACTTATTATTAATCGACGGTTCATGTGCATAAATCTTAAATCATACACCAACATACATAGTATAGGTACCTATGATCTACGGTGCAGTAGGTATATTCCAAGACCATGATGCACATTAATAAAAAAGTGATAAGAGTTAACGATGTCACGCCATAAACATTAACAGGCGCTTGTAAATTCCGCTGATTTATGGGTATTCAATTTTAGGGTTGGATTTGGAACATGTAAATTCCACAAGCACTTTTTTTTACCTGTAATGATAATATAAATTCAGCTGGTACGTTTTTTGACCTGAAAAAAAAATAATCCGGTAAATATATTTTTTATTTATTTTAATTTAATTTTAACTATCTAGTTGATCATTGTTGATAATTATATATTTATTTTTACTTTTTTTTAACTAACTAGGGATCATAATTTATTATTCTATGTTATTTTAAATTAGTATAAAAAAAGATATAATAGTATCAGAATGTAAATATATATTATACAGGTATATTAAATAAATCTAAACATAAATAATGTAGCTATTACCAATTTCATTTCAGGTAAAAAAATCGGTGGAATTTACATGAAATAAGGCCCCAATCAGGGGAATTTACATGCGCCCACATTAACGAGATAATCTTTAGTAACCAGATTAATGCTTATCGTTCAATTATGCCATTTATTTACATATTTTTATTTTTATTTTTATTAATAATAAAAACTATAATATAAAAAAAAGTCGCACTGCTGTACAGTAGGTTACAAGTGGGTCACTGTATAATGGATGGTATTAAATATGAATTCATTGATATAATATCATAGTAAAAGAAAAACGATTCTGAGCGGAGACGGTATGTCAGTCTAGGTATAAGACATATTATATACTATTATCTATGGTATTAAAAAAAAATTGACCTATAATAAATTCCAAATTAATCATATCACAATATAAATTAGGTACTTTTTATGCGTTATACATCAACAACAAACCGTGATACTATCATAGATATATAATAGTACACTTTAGAAGTTTCAAGTACCCACGAATAATATTATTCAATCACAACAAAATAACTAAAATAGTTATTCTAGGTTTTGTAATAGGAAATCGCTTTATGACAAATCGAGTAAGTATACAATATCGTAGAAATATTAAATTCAAACTCTTATAAAAATTTAATTTGATTTGATTGAAAACATTTTTTTTTTTGATAAAGATAGACAAATTTATGAATAATCTTGTATTACATTTTCAAATCTTAGATTTAAAAAGAAAAATTTTTATTAATTTCTAACTCAAAATAATTTTGCAAAATTTTCGTAATTTTTCCATATTTTGTCAATTTTTGGCCTTTAAATGCTTATAAAAAAAAAAAGTGACTAAGGGTTTTTAATATTTTTCATCTGCCTTTGAAACAATATACTAGAAGCCCTCTATGAAATTTTCAAGCTTTTTTAACCAACCAATAAAATGTTATTGATATTTATAGAATAAAAAACTAAAAAAATTGGAAACGGAAAATGTCCCTAAACAGCTCAAAATAAGTCAAAATATTTTAAGGCATGGTGTATAGAAAATACTAATATAAACATTCAGTCGAAATGTTATGTACCTACGGTTATTTATTTAAGAGTTACACCAAAAACCAAAATCGATTTTTTCGTAAACAGATTTTGTGTAAAAATTCCCGTTTTGCCTTAATTTTTCTTTTGTTTTTCACGGCCCTTTTGAAAACTACTGGAAAAATTTTACTTTTGACCCCCCCAAAGTACCGACTAGATTCATTTTCTTATCAGAAAAGATACTGTTGAAGAAAATCCAAGCACTTTTACTGTCCTAAAAGGTGGACACACAAAAAAAAATAAAAAAATACACATCATTGTAAAATCAATACATTCATCGTTACTTAGAATCTAAAAAGAAACCAATATAATTTCAAAGATTTTTCAATATCAGATCAAAACTTTTTGTAAATATTAAGATTTTAAAAATCAAAACACTTTTTTAATTCATTTTGAAATCCTGGGGGTTTTAAATCATGTCCAGCTCTACATCATGTTCTAGGATGGGTTTTCGCTACCACAGTAGATACATTAGTAGGTACCTATTTATATTTGATGGTAAATTTACTTAGAAATGTTTTTTTTGTATATATTTTTCAATTTTAGTTCAAAAGGTATTAGATAAGTAGGCACATATGAAGAAAAAAACAGTTTACTCTCCGCCAACCCACCGAAAACACAGGTCAATACCTTGTCATATACTAATCCTATATATTATAATATACAACATAATATTGCGTCTAAATTCAATTCCAGGTGTGTGTAAGTATAAAAAATATTGACATGTTGTGTATACATTATAGGTTGAATGTAATTTATCATGAACATAATTTTCAGGCATGTTATTCGATTGTTTTGTTTACCTAATATAATTTTCAAATTAAAACGACATACACCACATACCTAATTACGCACATATCTACACACCTATTTTAATACTTAATTCATATATATTTTTAGCATTAAAGGTAAAAAATATAAAATTGTATCATAATATAATATACATAGATAAGATATTATTATCATCGTACAAGATAAAAATAAATATTATATTTATAATTATATAATAATAATATTATATATTATTACTAATAATATATAATATTATACTCATATTATAATGTATTGCGATTGAATATAATATAATTATTATGTATATGTTCTGTATAGTTGTTGTATATGTGCGAATACTTGGAGCAGGTGAAAATGGTATACACAGGTAACACGAGGGGCCGCCGATAAAACAACCACTCAATAGATCGATCTATGTTCTATATTATTAGGTATAGGGCTAAATAGAATTTTTTTCTGTCGATAAATCTGCGTATTCCAAAAACACGATTGGTCATGCACAATATCTTATTATATACTATAATAAAGTTTATACGCATAATAATATTATTATAAAATATGTACGTGTTTTGATATGACGTATCAGCTATGGTTTAGCCAAACACCGATAAATGTGTACGGGCAATAAAACCGTCCGATTACAGATTATAATAATAATAATTATTACGATCGTCAAAACAAGATAAAAATACCCGGGACATGACGTATCGCGAGTATCGCTTGTTCACGTGTGGTCAGCGCCCAGACGTGTGATTCGATTATAATGATATTATTATATCATCATCTTAGGAATAATAGATTATCAGGAATGTCCGTAAAAATAATCCTTCGTGAAGAAAACAACATTGTTCAATCCCGAAGGTCGAAAACTTCCGAAAACGTTTTAAATTCATCGGCTGTATTATTACTATGAGCCCGCATTCCGGACATATTATGACGGTAAAAAATAAATGATAATATTATATTATATCTCGTAACACGAGTGGTGCAGGGAATAAATTTTGATTAAAAAAAAAATCGGAAAACAGTCTAGCCGATCGTCCAGCGTCAACTCGGGCGGATACGAGAGGAACAGAACAGACCAACGACCCGCGAGAAACGGATTGAACAAATCCGAGTCGGTCACCAATCGCCGATCTAGCGGCGGAGTGTGTTCGTGATAAAAGGCAGATGCCGATATGAGCCCGTTAGGGCCGCCAAAAATTGCCTACGCGGACAGTGTTTCATGTCCACATGGCGGGGTATTGGTAAAGTTTTCAACTAGCAATAATCGCACCTCGGATGGACCTCATTGGTTACGATATCGCCACTGCGCAAAGCTGAAGAATACGACGATCGGCACCCATATATGTGTGGTGCGGGGCCCGAGCGCGGCGTGCGGACGTCCCGGTGGCCGGACACGATTTTCGGAGCTCGGCGAGCGTCCCGCTTGAGTGCCGAGCGGAACGCGCGCCGAAAAACGGACGCTCCACCGACGGAACAGTGGCCTACGACATCGGGCGTCAAGCGTTGGCCGCCGGCGGTCGGCGTTTCGCGCGGCCCATCCGACTGCCCCAAACGGGCCACCCAGCAACGACATCTATCGGCACGAATTGGCGCGCAATCGGTCGGGCCGCCGCCGTCGCCGTCGTCGTCGTCACAGTCTTCACCACCGTCGCCGCCACCGACATGAATGACTCGGCGGCAAAGGTTATCGGAACGGTGAACGATCCGTAATCAATTTACGCACAATAATATTATTATTTGTTGTTATTGGAATAATTATCAAACGATAATAATTTCGATAGTAATAAATAACATAGTAATTATTTTGTGTACTATGTACAGTGTACACATTCGGGTACAGTTTTATTCGTACGCGCGCAATATTGTTCGTCGATTTGACGTAAAGCCGTTTAGGTCGTTTCGTGTAAATAGGTATTAAATTATATTTTTTACCGCAGTCATCGGCCATTATACTTTCTACGATCAACTGACACCATATAATATTGTGCCTCATTTTATTATTATTACTATCACTATCGAAGAGAGGGTGTTTTATTTTTTTATAGTGTCTATGAAATGTATTTACTATTTACGTATGATCGAAAATTGTTTTTTTTTTATATATATTATTTAGTATTTAGGTACTTCCATGGTTCGGAATCTCCATTCTAGAATAATATAAATACTAATTAATAATAATTAACATAATTACTACGGTCGGAGTGTATATTGTATAATGTGTCTTATTCACTATGTCGTAGGTATTGTAATCACGATTTATGACCTACCTACTGTACTAATACGAGCACTTGTGACCCACTTGTTGTGTATAGCTTTTTAAATGCCTCTCATCGTTATGGCAACAGTGTTGTGGTCGTTATCAATTACAATGTTCGAAAATGTTAAAATGCCATGGTTTATCAAACTCGATTAAACCGTACTATTTAGTGTAGGTAGTCCGCATTCCGCGCTTATTAATGTAGGTAACAGGTGTGTAGGTACTTAAATATTTAATTGGAAATGTACCTACCAGTGAAATTGAGATTGTCAATTGATAAAAATATATCGTATCCGCATTCGTATTTTCTAAACGAATCTGAAATATCTTACCATAAATTAGTCTATATACCAGGTGTCACTGTGTGTCTGTGTCAGTGGTGTAACTATAAAAGTATATTATTTAAAAATTTTTTTTTTGGTTGAAGGAAATTATATAATAAATAGTTGTACCTGTTGTGCGTTTAGAAATATAGTGGTGGATGAGGTAAAGTACTTCTACCATTCTACCCTTCATATTCTCAACCAATATACTGAAATTATTTTAATATTATTTAATAAAAACCATTTTCTATCGGTAAATATTATATTATAATTGTAAATTAATCAAATATTTATGAATATTATCCGATGAACATTACACAAATTACCACATGAATTATATTATACAGGGTCCGTCAGAACAAACGCATGTTTTTCGAAATAATACTACGCTAAAAGTCATTTCTTTAAAATAATTTTTATTTCATCAAAAAATGTAGAAACATATGCAATTTTTTTTTACTGTAACAAAATTTAGGTTTTAAAAATAATGTCAGTCATATGGCGCCCTTGAGCCGCAATGCAGGAATGCAGGCGCTCCCGAAACGAGTCCATCGCGTCGGTCAGCATCTGTCCCGGAACTTCACCCACAACTCGTGTGATCTCGTTCTTCAATTCATCTAGGGTTTGTGGCTTGTATTGATAGACTTTTGATTTTAAGTGACCCCACAAAAAAAATCACACAATGACAAGTCAGGGGAGCGAGGGGGCCACAGAACGTCACCAAAGTGTGAAATGAGACATCCGGGGAATTTTTGGCGAAGAACCTCCATTGAGGTACGAGCTGTGTGTGATGTTGCCCCGTCTTGTTGAAACCACACTTTTTTAATACTGACATGTCGTCTTTGAAGCTCAGGGTGAAGTTCCGGGACAGATGCTGACCGACGCGATGGGCTCGTTTCGGGAGCGCCTGCATTCCTGCATTGGGTCTCAAGGCCGCCATATGACTGACATCATTTTCAAAACTTAAATTTTGTTACAAAGGTTACAATAAAAAAAAATTGCATATGGTTCTACATTTTTTTATGTAATAAAAATTATTTTACGGAAATTACTTTTAGCGTAGTATTATTTCGAAAAACATGCGTTTGTTCTGACGGACCCTGTATTTGACTATTTGAGTGAAGAAAAATGTCCGTTCTTGTATACACTTGCTATTAGTTATTAACTACATAATATTATGTATAGGTACCTAATATTTTCTGTATAACTACGTGGTATCTATAGGTAAATATATGAAAGTATGAAACGTAACCACGAACGAAGTAATCTCTTTTTTTAATGGTATTTAATATTATCTATTAAAATTACATTTTTAAGTAATATCAGTTTTTTATCAGTTGTTTTTCAATGAAAATGGCCATTATTGTCCCCTGCCCCCTTGTATTTAAATTCTTAAATATATAGGACATCGCTTCTTGAAAATATAAATTAGCTTACCAAAACATAACAGTATAGAATATTATACTAGGTATATAGTTATACCAAATATATAATATATTTTAATCTATGACCAAAATTACCATCCATATTATAATATTATATTACTACATACCTATTAAGTGTTAAGTATATAAATAGCTTTAAAAAAATAACAATATATCGCAGTGTTGTTATAACCAATAAATTAAAACGCTAAATATTGTGTGGGGGGGGGGGATTTTCTACACTATAGCAGCTGTTGCATATAGTGTTCCTAAAAAGTTATACTAAATTGTAATTTTACTGTACACATTCTTATTCAGCGTTTTTTAAAATCTCGTTAAAAAACAATAGTACATCGTAGTGCACATGAACTAATTATAGTTTACACGTGTCTTTCAAATATAACATTAACGAAAAAGATAGATACTATGTAGGCGTTGTAGGTATTCTGAATAAATTTTATAATTATAGCTCCTGAAATTCTAAGAAAATTCGTGGTAGGGCACTTCAGTTTCGTATATTATATGCGACGTGGACATAGTTTGAATTTTGTAAAACAATTTTTATTACAATAATTAATAAGTGATTAAAATAGTAGGTAGTTAAAAATGTTAAAATTACTAATAGCCTACTATAATATTATAATGGTTAACTTTAATATTTGTCCAGTTGTAAGTTATGCTTATAGCTTAAATTTAGTAGGTAATTGCTAATTATATAAGTATTACAATTTACAGTTAATCCTATTATTTTAATAAGTGGTACCTAATATTTACCGTTTTGTTACTTCCATGTGATGGGTTGGATAATATATAACCAAATTTTTAACGTAATTGTATTAAACCATTAATTGCTATAGCACTATTATAGCAGTAATATATATTTTAATATTTTATACTTTATAGCTTATGCATATACTATTGAGCATAGGTAAAAGACATAATATGTAATGTATTTTTTCCTATCAAATATTAAAACTATAATATTTTTATTTTTAAACTCGTTATCAATATTAGGTATTAAAATGTCTTTTAGTCAGATTATAAAATATTTTTTACTGTGCCATTTTGTTTGACATTTTAAAAATAGTTTTATGTGATGTTAATAAAATGGTGTTTGGTTTGACAGTCTTTATTATTTCATTTAAGTGGTCTGATAACACTGCACACGGGGAATGGTAAACTCCAACAAATGTAGTGTTATCTCCTACAAAAGATAGTGTTAACTCCTACAAAAGATAGTGTTAACTCCTACAAAAGATAGTGTTAACTCCTACAAAAGATAGTGTTAACTCCTATAAAAGATAGTGTTAACTCCTACAAAAATTTAATACCACTCGTATTGCTGTAAAAAATATCAGTCTTGCAATATATTAACACATATAATAAAAATGTTAATAACACAATAATCATTATCATTTACGTTTAAAACAAAATTATTAAAATATAGATAAAAAAAGTGTTAATAAAATAATAGTCATAATCATTTAATCCTAAAACAAAAATTATTTGAAAAATATAATAAAACAATAGTCAAAATCACATACGTTAAAAAAAAATTTTTGAAAAAAAAAAATAAAAAATTCAATAAAGCAATACTAATTCATAATCATTTACGTATATTTTTATGACTTGTTTTATCGTTATTCAACAATATTCGATGCCATATCGCTGATCTATTTAAAACATTTTGTACTGCAAGTGCCGATATGAACGTATAGTAAAGTATATAATATGGATATAATCTAACCTTCGAGAATTATCATACAGCGTATCAACAAGCTCTATTCAAGCGTTTGTTTATTAAATAATGTATATTTATTATTTTCAAGTTATGATAATTTTGAGCTTTTTAACTTTAAAATTGTGAATTTAAGTAATATTACCCTATTTTTTAAAGGGAACAATTTCTATGTAGGAGATTACAATATCTTTGATTTTCAGGTAAAAATTTTAAAAGGTTTTTAGTGTAGGAGTTTACATTTAATGATGATTCAGGTAAAAAGGTTATTCGTGTAGGAGTTTACATTTGGCCCTGCACACGTGTACCTATAGGTACCTACCGATTATTAATTTGAATAGGTAGTTAAATAAAGAAACTAAAGATGTTGAATTGATGCTATTTCATTTATATCAAATCTATATGAATAATTAATTAATTGTTCTTATTATATTTCTTATAATGCTTAGTTCTTACTGAAGTATTTTATTAAAGTACCTATCTAGGTAGTATCTATTATATTAACATAATATCTGGAAAATCTTTTACACTTGATTAAAATTTTAAAACATTGTATCAAACACATCTGACACAATAACTATGTATGCAAAATAATACAAAAATGATCGGTGACTTATAAACTGAACTAAAAATAACAATTAATTTGAATGATATAATTTAATACATTTGGTATCAGTGTATAGAT